CAAACGGTTTTTCAAAATCGGATTCCTCAAATATCTTAAATGGAAAACCCTTTAGACCAGTTGAAAAAACGAGTCGTGTCCGAGGTATTATCCAGTGAAGAAATCTTGCCATTTTTGAAAACCTATATATTTCATCAAAATACCTATTTTCAGAGAAGAGTGCTGCCTACTGCTAAATTATCTTTGCCTAAAAAAAAATGTATAAAAAGAGGGGTATAATAATTATTCATGGAACTGATTTGATTCTCTTCCGTTTCTATATGTTGTGATAGTATCATATATAATATCACAAGAGAAAAAGTTTTGTCGGCAATATTTTCAAAAGGTATGAAAGTTTGGCTCATGACATTTTTGACAAAATCACAAGCCGTCTGGCGAGTGATTGAAACCCGAGAATAACGTTCTCATGACAACCAATAACCAATATAGACATTTATGAACGATCGGGCGGTAAATACAACTTACCGCCCACCTCTTTTAGGAAATAAATCAGCTAGAATTTTTTATTACATTGACCCAACAACTTATTCTACATATAATATTACCAAAATCGATGTAGATAACCATGAATAATATGAAGTTGTAGATTTTTGGAAGATTTGCAAATACAGAAGTTGCCAATTTTTCAGTGGAAACGCGTCTTTATACAGGGTGTTCCGAAACTATTGTGCCAAAAATAAAGGAATGATAGATCTCGCCAAAATAAACGTTTTTTACTTATAAACCCATAGGCGCATGCGCTTTGGTTGGTTAGGTGATAATAGCACATTACAGTCCGCACTGAGGTAGCCACCTTGCACACGGAGAAACGTGTTTGAATAAGCAGAACCTGTGTTATTAAATAATACAGAACCCAAAGAATGTTTGCAGTATTTATTTAAAATAATGATTTACATCAAAAGATGCTCAAAACTACGACCACCCGCCTCAATGCATGTGTAACAGCGTTGTAGCAGAAATATCGAGTAGATTTCTGCAGAAACGCTTCCCGAAACTGTTTCCCTATGTATGCCAGACAAAACATAGGGTACCAACACGACAGACCACCACCACATTACTTGTTAGCCTTAAGGGAACATCTCAACGAAACATCTGGAAAGAGTGATTGTTAAGGGGGCATGGACTCCACGTTCACCAGACCTGACGGAATGCGACTTTTTTTTATGGGGTCATATGAAAGCTCTTGTTTACGACACTCCAGTTGAGACAGCTAGAGGAAGTTAGTAGGAAGAATTGTTGCAGCAGCTGCTGAAATTCTCGAAACACTATGAATTTTTCAACGTGTTCAGGAGGCTATGCTACGGCGCTGTCACGCACGTATGGAGGTGGGTGGTCGTAGCTTTGAGCATCTTTTGCTGTGAATCATTGTTTTTAGTAAATACTGCGAGCATTCCTTGGGTTTTGCATCATTTAATAACACAGTTTCCGGTTCAAACACGTTTCTCCGTGTGTAAGGTGGCTACCACAGCGCGACCTGTAATGTTCTATTATCACATAACCAGAGCGTATGCGCCTATGTGTTTATAAGTAAAAAACGTTTATTTTAGCGCGATCTATCATCCCTTAATTTTTGGCACAATAGTTTCGGAACACCCTGTATAAAGAGGAAGTTTATTTTTGAACTGGAAGAGTCCGATGTGCATAAAACGTATAATAAGTATTTTGGGCGTTAAGTGTGGTTAACCACCCTCGAACATTGAAGACTTCCGCTGTCGCGTCGGTCTTCAAACCCTCTCGAGCGGTAAATGACACTTATCGCCCTTAATACTTAAATAACTATTTTGTGTCTCTCGTTCATCAAAAAAACTATGAGTTTTTCGTGATAATTAATCATTTCTCTTTCTGGTGTGTTGTATTTATACAAAGAATCCAATAAATGGAATCTTTTTCTCATACCGAAATGGCGTTTGTAGTTTGTAAAAAACCTCATTACAGCGCTCTAGATTTTTTTTTTCAAACCGCTATTAAAGGGGATGTGACCCTAAAAAACGACTTAAGCTACTTAAATCAAGAACAAAAATCTAAGATCTCTCGTGAAAACCGCAGTCCTATATTCAAAATAGTCTCCGAGAAACTTCCTTGTGAAGATAAAATATGCAGGAACTAGTGACGTCACACTGTGCCTGATAACACGGTGTGATAGTGTGACGTCACAAACACCTAGTTGTATTGTTAAACCGCCCTAACTCGGAAACGGACCATCGTAGCAAGATGCGGTTTAAATATTTATTCTTAGATTTTTTTTTTTTGCACTGAAACTTTCATTTTTGGTTCACTACCACTATAACACAACATTCTGATTCAATCAACTTCACGTATGAATTTTTCGCATTGCTTCACCGTTATTCTCTCTTTCATCTAGGTAATAGTCTTGTGAGGTCTCCAGAATATCTCCATCTTCAATTTTAATTGCTCCATAATTATGGGATTATCTAACTACACTTCATTTCAACTCGTTTTGAAGTTTAGCGATAGTTGTTACTACATTTCATTCATGAGGTCATAGTACGGGAGCTATCGAATATCGAAACACTCTGGCTCTCTGTGCTCTATAGAATTATACAGTTCGCTTTCTATAGTAGATATCTATTTTCAAAAGCGATAGTCGACTGAAACGGCACTCTGTGTATGGTCACCATCGACAACAGTTCGGCCACGTTCCCGGATACTTTTATCATGCTACTAACCATTCGAAAAACGTAGTACAAATCTAGGGGAAACTCTAGGGAATTTTAATTTGACATTTAAGAAATGTCAATATTATTTATTGTATTGACTGCATACGTCATTCATTAATAAGTTTGTTTTTGTTATTATTTGGTTTGCTTGTTTGCCTTGTTCAGACCTATTTTTGCTTCCTGAAAATTGAGTTTAAAGTTTAAAAATTATGTTTTATTGCCCATTAATAATTTAAATAAGAATATTGTTGAAGAAGATAAGAAGCTTGAACATATTTGTTTGGAGAATATCTAGTGATGAGTGATGCTCAACAACAGTGACTGTATTCAAAAAGAAGATGTTAGATTTGAAGAGCTAATTGAGCAAAGCTATAATATTCATGTGGCTCAACAAACTATGTCAAGAGCAGAGCAATAGAGAAAGTATCAATTGCCATCAGGGTTCAGTTTTCTGTGACTCAAGACGAGAAAAATCTAATTGAAGCAGGGTTTATGGAAAAACTTAATTTCCCAGGTGTGATAGGAGCGGTCGATGGAACCCACAGTGAGTGAAATTCTTAGACCACATGACGAAGAACTCTGGCTAATGACACCTACAGAAAACGCTGCTCCAGGAACTCCAGAGTTCAATTATAGGCAAAATCACATACAAACTCGAAATTGTATCGGTGTGTTTAAACAAAGATTTGTGTGTACTTCAAAAATGTTGAGGCATGACGGCATGACCCAAAAAAAGTTGGGCGCTTTGTTATTGTTTGTGTTATTTTACATAGTAATTGCTTGGAAGAGCTAGAGACTGAATGGTTCTCGAACCTCATATCCGAAGGGGTAACATTCAGGTACCGAGGCACCATATAATGCAACGTTATGCAAGCAAGAGTCTAGAAAAGAAACAATTTGATTCGTCGTCATTTCATCATTTATGCACTGATTTTTTAAAATGTTATTATAAAGATTTTAACCATAATATGTGTTTTATTCCGTGTTTTATTTTTAAATAATTTAATTTTTCACCCACTATACCCAATAGAAGGCTAGTTATTGATATTTTTGTTGTCACAAAAATTGTTTAAATAATATGACCACATATCCTAAACTTTTCAACAGTTTGCCATAGACATTACCATTTGTTTTTCACTGGATGCCATCAAATTTGTTTGTAATTAAACCAGGGTTTTTCTTATAGTTAGGGAGACGACCACATTTTTCCTACCCCGATCGAGTTATGTGTCGACACTATTATCAATATATAGTATTATGTGCATCTATTAACCAGTATTCCTGCCTGAGAGCAAATGCTGCCGGAAATATCTTTTAACAAATTATTAACAAGTTGAAAAAAACGTAATACTACCCCCATCGAGTTATGCCCTAAGTAGGGTATTAGATGGAAGGTCTCGATGTCCCCTATCTAAAAAGTCGATCCTGCCTAGAACTTGCCGGAAAAGGGTGGCAGGGCAGCTTATTGGGGCAAGGGCCCGCGATCTCAGCTTTGACACCTATCAAGTTTTGCGCTGAAATGTGTCAAATTAAAGGTGTCAATAAGTTGATTTAAGGTCTCTTCGCACAGAAATCCCAAACCAGAAGGAGTGAATTTCATTGTTTGAAACTAGTTTCCTGACTGTTTCCACCCAATGAAATTCGCTCTGACTGGTTTGTGATTTTGAATAGAAGGGAGAAAGTCGCCCTAACAACAAAGTAACATTCAATTTGTAACATATTTTCAAAATAACACAGGTAAAAATCAGAAGGATTTCCGTATTTTTTCGGATATCTATCGAAATGGCAGAATTTTGTCATAATTTGATCAACCTCGTATATCTTAGGTACCTATTAGGCAATTCAATCCATCTGTCAAACAGGAAAATTCAATGTGGCGTGGCAGCCAAACAAGTTTGTTTTGGATATGTTTTTATGCGTATTTTAAATTATCTTACATAGAGTTTTATTTACAACTTTGATTTTCATTATTTAATAAAATATTTTTTGACTTGGTACCTAAACTATTAATTCGGGCAGAAACTAGATATTTTTGTGTGTTTTTTGGTCCATGTGTGGCCGCCACGCCATCTTGAATGTCACATGGTTTGAATTGCCTAATTATCCATTCACAATCCGATGTCCACAGGTACAGGTATAATGTATCACCTTTCAATGCTATTTGATAGGGAAAAGTGATAAATTTACCTGTACCTGTGGACATCGGATTGTGAATAGAATAAACTGTACTGTTTTTGATATTCCAGTGACGAGCATCGAATTTGAATACTATCCTGTATGAAGCAAGAAGTTAATACTAATTAGAAACTTTCTCTATTCCAGGCTATCGGTCACGTTAGTGGAGGTCACATCAATCCAGCAGTCACAATCAGCATGTTCGTTACAGGAGATATCAACCTGATCCGTGGGATCCTTTATATTGTGGTCCAATGCATTGGCGCTATTTGTGGTGCTGGTATTTTGAAGGTAAGAACACCTAAAAATATCACCTGAATAATAAATAATTATAATTTGGTCAATTTTGCCAATAGCATCTCTCATAATTTATTACTATCTCTATGCGAGGCCTCTAAAATCTAGGCTACAGATTTTTTAAATGAAATTCCTGATATGTTCCACACAATAACACATATTAAAGTCTCACGATTCGTGCGAGGTTAATTTATGATTAGTAACTCTATGTCAGGTCAAAAAGGATATATTCCCATATAAACTGATATTAATAAAAGTATTGAGTAACAATTTAATAATTGGTTACTTGTATTGCGTGTCACGAAAGAGCTAAATAGTTCATGTAGTACCTATGCGCCTGTGTATTTACACATTTATGTGATCTCAACCGCTTCAATAAGACCCTATTTAAGTATGGTGTGTATTTTTTATCGATTGTAATAATTGGCTATTGATGGTACTTATTCTTATTAGTACAGTAGTACAATCAGTATGTTAAGCTGAGTGTGAAGATAATTTTAGTTGTATTGGACCAATCAACGATACATTGATCGAGAAAAACAAGCTCATCCTATAATGATACTGTTTATTCAATCATCAGAAAATATGGCCTTGTATGTAGGAAAGATAGAGGACAGACTTTCGTGAATTTTCTAAAGGGTGCATTTTTCTCAAAGAAAGAAATCCGAAAACGGACGAGGCGTAGCAGTGTCCCACTGAAACGAGATTTGCCACTTTAATGAATGCGTTTTTCGAACAGGCCCCCATTCATATATCATCGAAATTATTCCATTTGTCTGATACACACTGTATAGGTAACATTACAGATAATAGGGATATTTTTCAACACCTGGCCACACTCAAGCCAAGCAAAAGTAGGTACGTACCTGACGATAGACGATATTATCAAATCGTGGGTTCGGAATCCGGGCCCTGAACATTTTTTATTTTTTTAGCAAACACGTACAATAATTGTTCAACAAATCGTGTCAACTCTGATAACTGGGCATTTATTAGGTATAGGAACGTGAAGTTTGACAGTGGATATAAACGATGTTTGCGATGATTCCATGTCGCTTTCGTCATATTCATCAGCTTATTCTTTCATCGCTAGATGGATTAGAAATTGTCGAACGTAGTAGCGTTACAATGAATAATTGAACACTATTCGACTATGTATAATAGTGGCAAAACAAAAAAAATAGCTATTTATGTACCAAGGGGATTATGTAGATTATAATGCCCGAAGGCGAAACTAGCCCGAGGGCCTATGGCCCGAGGGATATATTTCGCCTGAAGGGCATTATAATCTTGAAATCCCCGTGGTGCATACAATGCTTTATTTTCTACTCAACACAATGTTTTTTCATCAATTTGTTATTAACAAAATCAGTTAAACTTGTGTGACAGAATATTGTTTTGTATTTTGACATGTACCTGTACCTGTGACCTGTACCTGTACCTGCGACCTGTACATAGAAACGAAATAAATTAATATATCTATAAACATCTCATAAGGCAAGGCAACGGTGGTGGTCCTGTGGGTTAACGCGCTGGACTACATGGGAAACATTGATGGTAGACCGGGTTCGAATCCTGGCTAGACCGAAAATTATTTTCGGTCAGACATTTAGTGGCTGCCTAGGGTAAAGTGCAAATTAATAGAACAACAACAACAAAAACACCTTAAGGTATTATAAGCGGGCGTTATAGATCATAACGCCCGCAAAAGCGGGCGTTATGGATCAGGTTGTTATAGGTGTGTTAACGTATTTCGTTTCCTAGGTATTATGGATCTATAATAGTAAAGTAGAAAATAAAATATATATAAATAATCAAATTTATCATCATTATGCCATATTTTCTGACAAATGACCGCAATTATTCTTGTTCTTCAAAACCAGACCAGCTAAACTCTACCTCGTGGCGCTGGTTCAAATCCAGCATTGTTGCTGGGTTTGAACATGTATTGGTCAAATACCCCAAAAATTAGTCATTTGAGGCACCCAAAGAAACAAAAAGAGTTTGGAGCATAACGCATGAAAAGTTTCCACCAAAAGTTGTACTCCTGAATTTCTGGTATGTGAATTTTCCTGGGACGTAGGCGAAATGGTGAATGTCGTATTCTTGAAAATATTACTGTGAAGTGAACGTTCATGGAAATTCTGATTCTGCACTGCAGCCTTAAGGCTTACTGTGCTACCCCCTATCTTGCTTAGGCAACTTTCGTCCCTTTGATGAGATCTAGCAGCTTGCTGGCTAGTTTCTGATGCGGGAGTTACTCGCCGCGATGTATTCCTCCGAATAAATTGTGTTTTCTGCGAGGCAGTGCGTCACAGTCATATATAAAGTGTAAGGCGGTTTCCTCTTCTTCACCACACAGTCTACATGCCGTGGGGCCATTATAGACTCTCTTTTTATGCATGTGTGCTTTAAGATGGCAGTGTCCTGTTAGGAACCCACAGAAGCTTATTCTGTTATTCCTTGACGACAGAGCTTCCAGGTTGTGTAGTCATTATTTTCGAAGTTAATCGATATGAGTTTAGAGCTCTTAGAGCAGCCTGACTGTCTGAGAGAATGATTATGTTCTGGTTGGTATAACTCAGCCTTAGAATCTCCTGTGCGTAGGCTTGAATTGAATGAATTTCTGCCTGATAAACCCTGGGGGGATACTTTGTTCTCATCTTGGTCTTCCTCTATATACGCCGGCGCCAGACCTTGGGTGGCATATGACTGAATGGTTTTTCAAACATGGGTTATCACCATTTGATCCGTTTGTATTTCCACTATGTTATCGTGAATCAGGTCGATAACCGTTGTGTGGCCCTAGTTGCCTGGTGTTTCTTTTCATACCCCGGCAGCCTTCATCCGGTGGGCGTTAACTATGGCTGCCATTTTAATTTGAACATTGAGGGGAGACAAACATGCCAGTCTCTAGAGGATGTTCAGTTTATTGACCGTCGTTACTTGTTGTGCGTGGCGTACAGCCATAGCATCATCCTTGATTTCAGGCCCCATGTTTTTCCCAACACACTTCTGCATCTAACTAGACACATTTTTGCTTTGTTAAGGTTTCTGGTTTCATACAAGTGGCGCCTTGAGGGCAACCTCGAGTAACGTCAGTCTTCATATATGTTGACTTTAACTCGCCGGTACGTGAGCATGCTGTGCATCCACCTGCAGGTGGTGTTTATGACTCCACATCTTGCTGCGGCATCAAAAGCACATTGTAAATCTACAAAGGTTCCCAGGGTTATTTCTTTGTTGTAAATCGCGGTTTCGACCCCCGCAACGAGGTTGTGAGTCGCTGTCTCTTAAGTGCCTATCTATGAGTTTCTCCAACGTTTTCAGCAGAAAGCTTGAAAGGCTGATGAGCCTGTCCGGGTTTTGGGAGGAACACTGCTTTCGCTGTCCTCCATGCTTCTGGCACATAGCCTGTGGCAATGCATGCTCGGAAGATACTACAAAGATGTGGGGCCAGTATGTCTAGTCCCTGCTGCAAAAAACCTGGAAGATTCCATCAGGCCCCGGTAATTTACTGACTTGTAGGGTTCAAATGTGCTGACGGCCCATTTGATTTTGTCATGACTGATTGTTAAAACTGCTACCATCCAGTCATACGTTCTCGCCGTGTTCGGCAGGTTTGGTTGTGGTGGGCGATTTTCCGGTTGCTGTATTTTTGATCTCGGAATGTGCAATTGAACCAGAGCCTCCAGCATCTCTGTTCCAGTTGTCGTGAACTCCCCTGTCAGTTTCCTGATTACCCCGCTTGAGTTGTTAATAGAGACTTTTTGCACCTCTTATTTTGCCATTCGGCGTGTGGCCATTTGCGTTTTTAAATAAAAAATAGACTCAATTATAGCCTACTGATTTTTTCAGATTCTTCAACTTTCTTGCCATCATTATTTATTCATTCAACAAGATATGGCAAACGTTGGCAAATTATTAGAATAATAAACACATAGGAATCAACGGAATTAGCAAAAACGTGACAAAAACCAACACAAAACGACAAAACTAGTAGAAAATACTGGAAAAGCAGAAAATTAGGCATAATCATAAATTTCAGGTTATGATTATTATTTGTTATGGAATTGGTTTACATCCGAAGGCGCAGGCGTAGTTCATGGCCCAGATGCAAAATCTCTGATTTTGAAGGTCGTGGTAATCGTTATCGTCGATAAAGGTAACCATAACCTACTGATCCAAAAACTGCTGCTATTTTAAGCGGTGAGTTTCCTCAGAGATCCAATGATTGAACAAAAGTTTCTCAATGAAATTTATTTAAAACTTTCTACAGTTATTTACATGGAATCTAAATCTATTTTTACTCTTTTTAATTAATATGACACAGTTATTTTTAACTTATTTTCGACTTTTTTTTCCTCTACAAAATGATCATCTTTATATTTGGGGTCCTGATTCTACAGTTTTCTTATTTAAACTTGAACCTAAACTCTGTTAATTTTTTAAAGCATGATCTGGCAGCCTATGATATCCATCCCTGTTAATACTTGAGGTAATTTATTGCCCCTGATGATGGGATTTACTAGTCCGGAAAGATGAGGGCCGTTTAAAATGATGAAGTATTTGTGGAGGGAGACTTTGAGTTTTTCTTTTGAATTAAATTTCAACTCCACTTTGAGATATGGACTACTTCTTCAATTTTAAGGGGTGTAAAAGTCTCTAGTCCTTCTTGAGAATTTGGTGAATACGTGCGGTTTCCGAAGTGGATTCTACATCTTCGCAGAAGCTTTTCCCTTTTAGCCTTCCTTAGGGCTTTGTTATATTCGGTTAGCGATTGGGCGTAGCTGTCCCAGTCGCCAGTGAATTTCACCCTCTTGAATGGTTCCTAGTGTCGTACCTTAGCTAAGTGACTGTTCCACCATGGTACTTATTCCTTCTTGGTTCCTTTGATCTTAAGATGGCAGTTGTGTTCATAAGCGGTTATGATAGCACTCGAAGTTGGTTCACACATGAGTTAATGCGGTAACTGGACTGTTTTTTTGAGATAG